TAAAAATGTTGATTGAAACTTAAGTTTAACCAAAGATCCCACCTATCATGCCAAGTGAATCTAAGTAAAAATGCATTTTTTTCTTGAACTATTCTCTGAGGAACATTCAATGTTCTAAATTATTTGCATTGTAATAATTTCACCTATAAAGTAATCAAAACATAGTAAAAATGTACCTTGACTTAGATCAACTTGACATGACAGATGGCATTTTCATTTAAATTAAGTCGCAATTAGCATTTTTAACAATTGATGTTGGAGTATTTAATGTCAAGGGAAAATATACCACATTTTAATTATTTTGAAGCAAGATTGTTACAACAAATAATTTAGAAGATTGAATGCTTTCAAGAGAATAGTTTCGAAGTAAAAATACGCACTAACCCAATATACAAATAAGTAAAATGAAATTATTTGAATGCCACCTGTTTGTATTTCAAAACACTCGTTTTTAAGTCAAAACGCATCTTCTATTTATATAGAATAGAAAGATAGATACATATCTCAATTTGTTATAATAGATGTTTAATATTAATTTTTAATTTATTTAATATTAATTCATGAATTCTATGATTCTTTATCCAGTTATATTATACAATGCAAAAATTAAAACAAACGAAATTTATTTATACTCTTCCATTTAAATTAGTTAGCATTTAAGGATAATACTAAAAAAATTGATGATGTGTTTCATGGTCATTGGCATTATTTTTGGTAGAGAATTAAACATATGTGCTCAATAAAATTTACAAACAAGATAAAGTAAGTTTACATGCAAGCGGTAAACAAAATGAAAGTGAAATATTTGTACAAGTTCACATGGCGACTGGGAACATCTTATGTCTATCTCATCTTTAACAATAATGGGAATAATGCCCAATAGGGGTTCTTCCAAAAGGTACCTTCCAATCCAACATTCAACTCACATAAGCAAAATTAGCCACATTGTCTGCTAGTTCCATTCTTTCATCCACAAATATCAAGGCCCTGTTTGGTGTATGAGAATCCTACATGTGGAAGCAAAATTGGACATGGAATTTGGATTTTGGCATGTTTGGTATGATAGCATCTAGATTCCCAAGAATTCATATTCTAGCAAAAACTTTAAAATCAAATTCCATCACCAACATGATAGAATTGGCCCATTTTCCATGGAATAGTGTCCTCGACATTTTGGCCCTTACTATCATCACCTTGTCTTCCTCCAACCCAGCCTTCCCATGTAACATCCTGAATTTTAACTTTGAAAATTTTCACTATTTATAACAGTATTTTTGTCAAATGAAGTGAGTTTTTGATTAGTAATATTTTTGGGAGACTAATGTAACTAATGAATTCTTGGACAACCTTAAAAGAGGGCTAGATCAGAGTTTGAGTGACTCGTGGCAAGGAGAAAGGCCAAAACATGTTTGGGGTTCTCCATGCCATGCATCACAACGCACGTGCAAAATCTGCATTTATCAACTCGCGAAATTAGACAAAAAATAAGAAGTGGGATAGAAAGAACGTAGAGAGACGGCGATTTTGATGCTAGGGCTCAACATTTGACATTGGAAGCATTTGGAGCAAGATTTAGTTTTGGGTAAGCTTCTTTCACTACTCTTTCTCCTTATATTTGAATTTTCTGATGATTGGGTATTTTGGGGCTATGATTTCATGTTTTCTTGGGTAATGGCCAAACCCATTGCCTTAGTCAAGGCCTTGAAAAGTTAAATCAAGCCTCTAACTCTAAGTTTATGAGTTTTATAGTGATTTAAAATTTTTAGTTAAGGTTTGGACGAACTTTAGGTAGGAATTGGATGATCAAAAGCAATGTGGGTAATGTAATGGTGTTGTTTATGTGTTGGGATGTTAAATAAGATTAATACAGTGTGTTGGAAAGGTTGTTTAAGCTAAATTGAGGTTTTGAGCATAATAGATACCCCTAGTTGTACTATAAAATGGGGTGACTAGTGTGGAGATTTGACAGTTAAGGGTTTAATTGTGTAGATTAACATTTGAGCGAGTATTATGGTGCTAGTAGATGCGTGTGGAACCGTTGGTTGACTACAGTAACCTTTTTAGTGACAAAAGGGTTAAGGTAATTGGATTATCTAATCTCCCTTTTTTGTGTATTTGGATGGTAGTATGTAAATTTCAAAGTTAATATTTTAGTTTGGTATTAATATAGTAATAATATAAAATTATGATTGTGAAGTTATGTGAAGTGGAATGAAAACCTGCTTTAATACTTTTGTATTTGAAAAGTTAAACGCTATTTTTATATATAATTACTTGTGAAATTATATAGTTTAAGTGAAAATGAGAAATTGTGAATAATTTATATGTTATGACCATATGTTGGAATTCTTAAGCATGTTTGGCATGATCATTGAGAGAGGGTGAAAGTTCACCTTAGTGTGTTTTCGGAACATTGTTTGAAAATACATATGGTATACTAGCACCGAAGAGGCCCCAGTGCTCAATATTATATTGTTTGAAAGTCTCAATACTACGAGTGATAGATTGGGTATCAATACCCCTAGTAATTATGGACAGGGAAAATCTGTGTTTCATAGTAGGCGAAGACGCTATTGGCTAAGGCTACCTCCTACTAATGGTAAGCTTGGACTAGTCTAATCACATGTGTAACAGTCCTTATCCCACCCTTACGGGGGTCTTTTGAAATAGGCCAACCCACCTCACGGTAGCGAAATAACCAAGTACCACCTTAGAAAAAACTGACTTCTGCTACAGTGAGGTGGGTTGGCCTAGTTTAAAAGATCCTCGGTGAGGTAAGGTAGGGGTAGGGTGAAGATTGTTATAACATGGACTTGGTCTTATCGAATTATCAGTCCACAAATTTAGTTGAAATACACAAGGTATAAGGTGGTGTATGGAGCATATATATTATATTATAACCATATGTATAGATCTATGAGACATGTTATATGATTTACTATGCCACTTCACATGCACAAAAACTGTTCTCACACATGAGTAGTTGATTAGACTATTTGATTATTGAGTCCTTGACTCACCCCGTGGTTACATTTTACAGGTGAAGGCTCTAATAGAGGCAAGAGAAAGGAAGGTGCAACCAAGTATCGAGAGGACTAGCTCTCAATTGTATAGTTCTTTCACTTATTTTGGTTTGTAACGAATGGTTGAATGCATATGCCAACTTAGAACATATATATATATATATATATATAGTTTTGTGATACACTTGCATGAATTCTGTTGTGAATTGTGGGTATCTCAGCCTGGATTTGTTATATCTGTGTTGTAATGACTGCGAGAGGTCGAGATACTAGTGAAGTGTTAGTTTTGCATTGAATTGTGTGTTTGATTGGCCATTGGATTGTTTGAGACATTGTTACCTTTAGTAAAACTTATGTTAAAATTAAAGTTTTGGTGGTCAAATTGTGTTTGAACTGTTGTGGTTGTGATTTAAATGCTTGAGCAGGTTGTTTGTGGTCTATTTAAATTGGGTCAAGTAGTTTCACGGCTGTTGACATTTGGTTTAAGAGTTTAGGCACGTTGGTAGTAATTTTGAAAGAAAATGAGCCATTTTGAATTTAGGTGTTCAAATCTCATTTGATTCAATATTTGGATGTGGAACCAGTGCCAATAGCTAAATGGCTCTAGGAGTTACATGTGAGACATTTGAATTGCTCGAATTGGGCTTTGAACGGGAAAATAACGCGCTCCTAAAGTTGGTCTGGAGAGCTATCATGATAGCAATTTGTTATTATAATAGGGCATACGTGTAGTAATTCTATGATATTAGAAAATTCATTCACAGTCACCAAATTACAAAGTTTGAAGCTTTACTAAATACAAAGTTTGCAATAGAGTTTGTGCATGTAGTAATTCTATGAAAATATTTAGACTCATCCAAAATGAGATTCCTTTTGAATCACTTTATGAGCAATGCTTCATGTGAGATAAGAGATATCATGGCAAGATAATGATCTAATCTCTCTCGTCTAGAAGCAAAAAGTAAGAAAATAGTGTTGACTACGTGGCTCAACTGACTTCATTATAATGGTATTGTTTTGATGTTTGATGATCATTAGCAATCCTCCTCAAGAGTGTGCCAACCTGTTGTGAGCTGACACGTGTATTAAAAGCATAATCCAAATTATTAACCCCATAACCATAAAACTTGCAGGAAGAGGGAGAATGGCAAAAATATTTCAAAAGGACTAATTAATTTAATATAAATTTTAAGTGTTAAATTTTAAAAATTTATAAGTTTGATTTTCAATCTCTAAACTATTCCATTTATTTTTAAGATAATCAGTCCAATAGTCTAGCAAAATTTTATAATATATAAAGAGTTTATTATTAATATACAATATATTTATCATTAAAAATTTAAAAACTTACAAAAGTTTACCATTGACATATTATAATATATTATTGACAAATATAATAAATCAATCATAATAAAAAATATAATAAAATATTAAATTGTTTATTTAATTTGATCATATATATCATATATATAGGTTATATATGTAAAAACTATCCATTTTCATTGAAGACCAATAGCACAATGCCCTATCGTGTTTAGAGGATAATAATCACTTACATCATCACTATTAATTGGACTCCTAATTAATTAATTATAATTAATCATTGGTGGTATAATTTATTGTAGGACCATGTCCTAATATTCAGACATCCTCTTACAAAATGTTTTTCATTAAAAAGATTCCTGACAAGCGCTCAATGGATGTGGAATTCTTGTTTAATCATTCATTTGCAGTTCATTGGATCTTACAATAATAATCTAATCACGATTCAGTCCTCCCCTTCACAAAACAAGCGGCAAAGGCACTACGGCTCATAACCACTTGATTCAACAGGGCCGGGTTTTCTGGATTGCCTCTCCACCCAGTTGCAGAAATACGCTAGACCCGCTAGTCATTGAATCCCCAATGCACCGGAGTTAATGATTAAAATCATAATAAAATCATAAACCAATTATAAACAAAACATTTCACGCATGTTAATCCAAATTTCTGTATTATGCTTTCTCAAAAACAATACAAGGAGGCAAGGAAATAGGAGTGCAGCTAGAATAACTTGATAATCTCAAAATGTATTACCTACCACTTGCTGTCAATGATTAAGGAATACAGAATATGCATTTAAAGATACAGGACCAGTTGTGCAGAACTAAGCAGCTCCACAGTGAGACAAGAGACAGTCTCACTCTACTTTGGCTTTACAATAACATGAAAACTCATCTGCAATTAGTTTTTTTTTTTTCCAAAAACATACAGCACCTAGCATTGTCTCAGGTTAGGATCTCATTGTGAGACACAACAGTAACTACTCAGTGACCTACATATATATATATATATATAGCTGAAGACCAAAATGTGTACCTAAATTATAGCTTAACTTGTGATAATCTAATCACAGTTAAATCAAGCACATGTGGGGTTCATTCCACAGAGAAGAAAGTCCATGTTCTTCACTTTCTTCCACAAATTAGGAACTTTCTTCACCTCGCAATCCTTTCCTGCAATATCTTCCTTCCACTTGAACCTTCGACTCAGTCTCTGCATATGAAGCCGAATCTCCAAAGCTATCCCATCACTGTTCTTGACCTTCTTCTCCAAACAGCCACTATTATTATCCTCTCGTCCATTGTAATCTCTTCTCAGAAGCTGCTCGTAATATTCCTTGTTCCTTTTCTCCAATCCATTGATCTGTGCCTGAAGATCTTCAATTTTCCTATGCAGCATGAACACTCTATGATCCTCCCTCATCTTCACCACACACTTGGCTAATTCCCCTGCCTTCCTCTTCACAAACATAGTCTCTGAGGCCAAGCCTTTGTTCTCTTCCACTAAAGCCTTTACTCTGAATCCCAAGCTAGCATTCTCATTCAGCAGAACAAGCCTCTCTGACTCCAAAACCTCAAGCAGGCTCTTCTGAAGATCTATTTTCCTTGAAGACTCCCCATACTTCTTCTCCATCACACAGACCTCATGGATCATAATCTCATAGTCCACGTTCTTGATCACAAGCTCAGCAACAATGGAATCTATGTCAATCAAGGGAGTGTTGGAGAACTTGGTTTGAGGAGGAGTAGGCTGCTGCTGGTAAGACAGTGAGCTTTCCATGTCAGAATCAACCTGGCTCATCCCACTGGCTGCTTCTTCTTGGTCTGAATAGCCATCTTCAATGGTTGAAACTTGAGATGAGTGTCTGCTATGGTGATGGTGGTGGTGCTTGTGTTTGGCCAACGTCTGGATGTAACGATCAGACAAGGTAATATAGCCATTGTACAGATCCTGCAAGAGTGTCAGCAGCTGAGGACGCTTCTGATAGTATGATTCTGCCCTTTCTGCAAATGTATCTCCCACTTCTTCATCTTCTATCCCCACGGTCAGCACCTTCATCCTCTCCTCCAGATCTGACATTGAACACCAAATCAGAAAGCAAGTAAAAGCAGAAGAAGAGGTGGAGGAGGAGGAGGGTAGAGAAAAGTTTTTATCTTGTGAAGGGGCAGTTGAATGTAGCTAACCTGATATACTCAGACCCATTGTGCTGGATGGATTTCCCAGTCAAGAACTCAAGATGAACCAAAAAGTAGAGTTAAATAGACCAGAACCCAATTAGGATGCTCTATAATTTAGGGGTAGAAGAAAGGGACAGGCCAACTAACAATGAGACAAAAGAAGGGAACACTGAGACAACCACAATTAATATAACTCAGGAAACGTTAGAGGAAAAAGTTAAAACTTCTCAAGGACCTACACACTATTTCAAAATGGGAATTTGAATTCACAAGCGACTTTGCTTGCAGATACAGGCTAGGCTATTAGGGTATGGCGTAGGACTGTGCTGCAACAAATTAAAGCACAAGTCAACATCATGTACCTCATCAGTGCATTTACCGAGTGTGAAGAAAAGTTCTTATCTTCCCCTCCTTTTAAACAAAAACAAAAAGGGGTTCTGAGCGATCTGAAGAACATGCACAGGAAGCGAGGATAAAAAGTATGGTCGCCGTAACAGATGCCAACAATATCTATTGTGTACTGCAGCAAGAAAACTAGATTGGGACCATTGTATATATATTCTTGCCTCACGCTATCCTCCGGTTTCAAAATTTAAACTTGAGAATAGGGTTTGAACTTTGAAGGGTACATGCAAAAGAACAAAAAGATTAAAAAGAAGGGAAATTTGAAAAAGATCAGAAGACACCAAGAGAATTTTTCTTCAGATTATGAGGTCTCAACATTCAACAACAAAATTGTCAAGGAGGCTGGCTCGCAATTACATAACGGGAACAGTTTTCAACGCAAATTCTTCACAAGGGTCAATATAAGTAACGCATTGGCCGAAGAAAAGGAATGGAACCTAATTTTTTAATATAATTGCTGTGTGCGCCGTTGTGGGCTTTAAATAATTTCAAAAAATGGAGGGGGAAGCGCGTGGGAGGGGTGAGCGTGGAGGAGAGAGAGAGAGAGAGAGAGAATCGACGTACGGAAAATGGTAATTGGAGGAAGAGCAACACAATGTACATAAGAGGGACAGATGAGAACTGGAGGATTCTTCTGCTTCTGTTGTTGATGTGATAATTGATTGAAGGATTTATTGCTCCTAAAAGGTTTCTCTAACCTCTTCTCACTTCTCACCTGCGAGGCGCATGTGATCTCAATTAATTCTGATTTCTTTTACCGGGGCTCTTACAAAAGTTAAAACATTTTTAATTAAATCTTAATACCTTACATTTATTTTAAATTTTATTTTTTATTTATTTTTATTTAATAAAATATATCATCTTAAAATAAATATAAAATAATTTATTTAATAAAATCACTTTAAATAAATAATAATTATATCTAAAAAAATTAAAAATATTTTATATTGTTAAACATTCAATCTCTTAAAAAATATTTCATATTTTTGAACGGAATCAATAACTTTTTTTTTTTAATTGTTAGTTTTTAATTTTTAATTATTCAAAAAACCTCAAATTAAAAATTTAAACTTTCAATGTTCATGATTTGCTATTCAAAATTTATATTCATTTTGTTAAAAAATATAAAATATTTTTAATTGAATTTTATTTTTAATAAAATAATTATCTATTTTTAAACTAACCTTTTTTTTTATATTTTCTTCTATTAAACACCTTATAATAAACATAAAGTTATTTATTAATAGGAACACTTAAAAAAATGAAAATAATTACACTTTAAAAGATTAAAAATACGTTATATTTTTAAACATTCAACTCCTCAAAACATGTCTTATATTTTTTAACATTCAACTTCTCAAAATATGTTTTATATTTTTAAATAAAGAGAGTACATTTAAATTTACTATTCAATATTCATGATTTTTTTTTCCTTAACATATTTCACCTTAGATAAAGGAGCATTTTTTAAAAAAAAAACAAGAAAGGTAAAGGAAAACTTTGAAAGTTATTAAATTTATCTTAAAATTAGATATTTTTTAAAACAGATACTCCCTCCCTTTAAAAATGATTTGATTTTTTAAAACACAAGCCATTTTTTTAAAACAAATAAAATTTTATTAATAATAATTATTCTAATATCACCTCTGATTATTTTACTTTTTAAGTAAATTTCTTTGACACTCTTATTAATAAAAGATATTTTTGAAACCTCCTCCAATCCAAAACATAAATTTTTTCCTTCTACTAATCTTAATTTAAAATATAAGTAATCTATTATATGTAAAAAAAATTCATTTTACCCCTTGTACTTATTAAAATAAATAATTGTGTAAATGTATCTCTCACTCATCATATAATAAAGTGGTAATTCAGATTAACGATAAAATAATAATTAAATATATTTTTATGAGAATAGGGATATCAAATTAAAAAAACTGTTTATATTTTGAATTAGATGAAGCATTTAATAAATTTCATTTATATGTAAAATTTTACCTAAAAAATATCTTATAAATTGCAAAGGAAAAGGTTACTTGTAACTCATGAATATGACTATTCATGTTGCACAAGATAATATTGGAATTTCTAAAATTTTTAATATATAAATGTACGATACTCCTTCCGATTAAAAATATAAAATATTTTTAATTGAATCTCACCTCTCAATAAAGTAATTACTTACTTTTCAACTAATCTTATCTTTTTATATTTATTCCTATTAAACACTCTACAATAAATATAAAGTCATTATTAATAAAGAAACTTTTGAAAAAAAAAGGTAATGATTATAATTTAAAAAATTAAAAATATCTTATATTTTTTAACATCCAACTCTTTAAAAAATACCTTATATTTTTAAACGAATGAAGTATATATTTTGATTTTCAATTTCAATTTTCAACTTGTGCTTTTTTTCCTCAAAGTAAAGAAAAACTAAAAATAACTATTTGTCCACAGATGTGGGCCAAGGGCCTATAAAATTACCCTATATTCATGACACTTATTTCTCCAAATTTTTTGGCATCCACTCTTTATAAAAAAAAAACAAACCAACAAATACGCTCAATTAAGCTCATTTTACTTCACTCAAGAAGGAAATTAAAATAAAACTGGGCTTATTTTATGATTAGGATAGGCATATGGTAGCATGGGTTAACACGGACTTGACTTACGGAGTCAAGTGAGAGTGAGAAGGAAGAACGAACCGATTGATACTACGTTGAAAAACGTAACGAAGTAAGAACATGAAATCAGAAACAAAAACCAAATTTCAGAGAAAAAGAAAATTTTAAAAAATAAAAAAAAGAAACCAATACCGGTAACGTGGGTGAGGAACCAAGAGGGCATGTTAACGAGGGTACAGTCCTTGAATCCTTTTGTAGATGACGAGAGGTGAGAATTCGAAATCACTTTGTCTTCTTCCTTTTGCATATAAACCAGGTTTGAGGTCCCCTCCATTAATGTTCTTGAGTCAAAATCACCCTGAATTTATCTTTTAAAAAAATTGGAGATAATTATATGCAAAATATGATAATATAATAGAGCAGTAAATAGAAAGCATTAAAACTAGACTCATTCAACCGATCAGAATACTTATTTGAGAAGATCAAACAATTCATAAATAAAACATATTATTAAACCAGTCAACACATGGTTCAACTATGAGTTAACCCGATTTGCATGATATAGTAATAAAATACTAAATAGCAAGACCTAATAATCATCCATGCTGGCATGCTCTTTGGGATTATGACCCTTTGCATTTAAAGCAGGCAATGACACAACAAAGGGGGGGGGGGGCAGAGCAGAAACACAAAAACATGAGAACGCAGATCTCAAAGAAGCAACTGATGGAGCACGGAAATGTTTTTTGAATGAGGATTTGTCAAATACCAATATATTAAACTAGTATTTTTGAATAAAAGTGGTTTTGTTTTCAGGCTCTCTGAGGTTTGTACGGGATCAAGGTGAATCATGTGAGCTGGGAAAAACAGGGACATTGGGCGACTGGGCACTTGCTCTGTTTGGCAAAGGGGAAAACAGAGGAAAAGGAAAGAAAGTTGGAAACTTCATGCAAATTAGGACACCGGATTGCTATACAACACTGACCCAATTTAGTTCCGAATAAGAATCATGAAAACAAGAGCAAATAAGAGAAGGGGAGACTCACCGGAATTTCCAGATTGATGGGTGGCAGAGAATCGTGACGGAGAAGAAGAGCGCTCGGAAGGATGAAAGATTAAAAGCAGACACAGAAAGAAGTAAGCAAGCCAAGTGACGGGAAAGAAAGGAATGAGGGCCAAGGCATAAATGCGTATAATGAATGCCACGTCACCAGTCAAGGGGCCATCACCAAATTCTGCACTGGAGTTTTTTTTTTTTTTTAACTACCAAATTTTTTTTTTCTTTACAATTAGAGCTGAAAATACAGATAAGTCCAACTTTAAAGACTTTGATTCTTATGGGCTCAGACTTGAACCCAAAAGCTTAATTTTTTATTTTAAATCTCATTTTTAAGTTCAGTCCTTATGTAAAGGGTTCAGGGTTGAGCCTCCAAGCACTTTTTTAAAAAATAAAAAAAATTAAATATTAAATATTATAAATTAATTAAAATATTTTGAAATTAAAAAAATTAAGATCCTCATAATTTTTTAAAAATTAAACAACACACATTTAGAAGTCTAGTAATAAAATTTAAATCTTGGTTAAAAATAATTTATTTTTTATAAATACACCAACATAATAATTATAAAAAAATAAAAAATATCATAAATTTTATACTATACACTGATATTTATTAAATTATATTAAATTAATTTTAAAATAAATTAAAATTAATAATAATATAATGCGTGTTGGATCGGGTGAGAAGGTCATTGGTTTTAAACATGTGTTCTACCAAAAAAAAATAATAATAATAATGTAATAGGATTTGAAGGACTGCCCGAGCCCAAGCCCGAGCTTTTTTTTACAAAGTTTATTAGGGCCAAGCCCTCAAACCTGATTGCTTTAAAAAAATTATTTTTAAAGCCCGAGCTCTTCTTTAAACAAGGCTTTCAAGTTCGGCCCTTCAGGCCCGACTTTTATTTCCGGCTTTATTTACAACCAATTTGTTCACAGTCCTCATCGTTCCTCCAGTTTTTAAGCCACGGTTTGAATTTTAATAGAATATAATTAATTAATTTTAAATGTATACATTATTTTTTAAAACATAAATATTAATAAAATTGTACATAATATTATTAAATTTGTGAATTCTATTCAAAAAATAAAATATGTTAATGTCAATATAATAATAATAATAATAATAATATAAATTTTAAACAATATGTGTAAAATAAAAAGAAGTCACGACCTACCAATTAAGAAAAAATATAATATGAAAGTTGAAGAGAGAGACACGAAACTCTCTGAGGATGTGACACATGGACTACAACACCCAATTTCAGAAGACTTCACTTCCCCTCGCTCAGTCTCCAACATGCAAAATAGAGGCTTACAATTTGCTGGAGGGGTATGGCTGGGATGTAAAATTTTTGACTGCCGACGCATGGATCTAATGTTAAAAATCGATTCTGATAACCTCCTCATTCTAGCTTACAGTAAAAATCGATTCCAGCCTTATTAATCAATTAATAGGATCTTGTGGTGTTTGGATAATTTTCATTTAAAAATTGATTATGGCTTAAAAAATCGATTGATCGCCCCTATCCAGACAGGCAGTCAATTGCGTTATGGTGTTGACTAAAAAAGATTGCGGTGTGTTGGGTTTTTTTAATGTATTTTTCTTTTTTAATAAGCTAAGAGCATTATGGTTATTGATCAGGACCCTATAAAAAAAACCCATATCCCCCAATTTGAAGGTAGAAAAATTTTTCTTCAATCTTTTCTTTATTTAAAACAAATTTAAGTGAATCTTATCTCAAAAACTCACAGGAGGTAGAATATATTTTTTAAAACTTACAGATTATTGATCAACAAAAATTTTATTAGATATGGAAAATCAAGCTTTGATTGGCGAGAGGTGGGAATAGGCCAAGTCTTTAATAGAGGCTTACAATTTAGCTTATTTCAAGTCCAACTTAGCTTATTTATCAAATAGATTCAGCCTTTTAATTAAACTTATTTAATTAAATAGATCAAGTTTATTTGTTCAAGACCTAACTTACGAGCTCAACAGAGTAGTTTATTTACACACATTATGTGTGTCTCTCTCTCTAATTTTATAATTTAATTTTTAATCAATTTATTCTTTCTTATTTCTAGTTATGTTTTCAATCATATTGAATTTATATATTAATTTTAATTTTAATGTTGCTATATTGTATTTTAGTTAGTAAGTTCTTTCAATTATTATATATTATAATTGATAAATCATGTTATATATTGTATATTATAATAGTCCTAAAATATATTTAAAACGTTTAGAACTAAAATGCGAGCCCATTTAAAAAATTTATTTTTAAATAGGTTTTTTAAGTAGGTTTTCTTGTTAGGCCGAGCTTTAAATAGGTTCAAACTTGGACTATAATTCTATGAAAAAAAAGCTTTATACAAATTTTAAACCATACTCATATCTTTAATTCACTATACAAATTTAAATTTATTTGATCAAATTTTAGTTCAGCCTAACATATTTTCACTTTTAGATATAAGTGTAAACAGAAAAGGCCCGCCGTTTAATGGGTTGGGATTTTCCTTGCTATATAATATTGGCAAATGCAACGTTAAAAAATATTTGCTTGGAAATTTTGGGAGTAAACGATAATGTTGGGACAAAACTTGAGCACTTCGCCGTATGAATGCAGGCAGGGGAATGACGAATAAATAAAACATCGAATTTTGGGCGCAAGCATTTTCACCAATTCCAAAACATAGTGCAGCGTTTTGCGTTCAAACTCTCCGTGTCACGGCTCGTGTTATGCCTTGCATCATTGCGAGCTCTACATCTATCAGGCCACATCATCATCACCTGATGCAAATGTTGTCAAAATTAGGACCCAGTTAAAAACTCCCTCAACATCACGAGGACTAAGTTCCTAAATTGAAAATATAGGAGGCTGGTTGAAAAATTGAAAATATAGATATTGATTTCTAAGTTTCTAAATTTTTTACTAATATCAAAATACTTTACCGAAAAAATTGTAATGCAAATGTTAGAACGTGCAACGCATACCATGAAATATGGCACAGATATGTATCAAATACTATTTCAGATTTTATTATAGGATACCTTTTAAAAAAAATTTTTTGTTCTTAATATAAGACACTTGGGAAAATATTAATTATGTTTTTTAACATTAAGTCTATTTTAATTCATTAACTATAAGAAAGAATGTAATGAAATTTTAAAAAAATCATTTAAATAAGGGTAAGATTGTAAGTTTATTCTATTTTTTAAAAAATTAATAATTTAATTATCTTTACTTAATTTTGATGAAATTATTCGAAATATTCTATAATAGAAATTGGAAAAGACTGTAATATATGTTTACTCTTTTAAAATATCAGTGCTTTATAGAACGAAAGGTGCTCGTAGCTAAAGATGAAGGTAAGGGGCGACATGGCGAAATGCAATGACCTGCAAGTTCGAAGGTTTGAAGCTTTGAGCTGTAGTTGTAACAAAAATGGATGGACAAAAATTGAGTTGTTATTTTTATTTTTCTTCATAAGGAATAGAGCGTTTCAATAATAAAAATAATCTTTTCAAGGCTATCGAGGACAAATAGTTGATTCAATGTTTTAAAAATTGAACTAGGTGTTGAAACAAAAAAATTGAGGGATCTCAATTTTTACCATCTAACTAGTTAGACCAATGATCAAATTAATAATATGATAATTGAATAAAAAATAATGTTAAATATATATAATATTCATATAAGAAACAAATTCACAATATGTTTAATTATTAATAAAATAACACAACATGGTCAAAAATAACGTGATAAATTATCATTTCATAAATTGTTAAATTTAAGTAAAGTTTTGTAAATTAAATATAAATAGGTTCAAAAATATTTGTATTTATACCCATAGTCAATTTGTGGCGCATGTTAGGCCAATAAGGCAACCACCTTACGTTTAAAAAAAGTTCACTCGTACACCCTATATAATCAGTTTTTATTTTTTCTCATTAAGCATTAATCTTAATTATATATCTCATATAATCATTCATTATTTTTTTAGTGCTTATAAAATATCATTGACAATACTGGTAATAGTTCCTATTGTTGAAAGAAATTTTTTCTAAAAAATGTATTTAAATCTCATTTAAGATCAATTATATTACAAAATAAATTAAGTGGATTAGCTATATTATTTATTAGAAGTGGAATGTTATAATTACTTAATTATGAAAATTTAATATTTAATTTTACAGTTCAAAAAACTAAAAAAGTGATATAAAGATATAAAAATAATAATACATTAGGTTTATTAGATAATTCGGCTTTAAGCCCCAAAACACCTTCACATGGCCTTGCCTATAGTTAGCAATATTTTCATAGAAAAATGATCACAAATATATGATATATATGTGAAGAGTCCAAAAATAAATTTAACTTTTAGTAAAGCCAAATTTTTAAATTTTTCTGATCTTTAAATTTTTTTAACATTTTTATATTACTTTTAGACTAGTTCAATTTTTTAAAAACCATTTTAATTTTCAGCTCAATGATAAATTAACTTCTATTCAACCATAAAAATAGTTGGTCCAAATAGAGCCATTGATGACTTCAACCAATAATTCAATCAATTTGATCATTTGACTCTTAAAACTCTGGGTAGACCCCTTTTAATTTTTAAATGCATAAGGATTGATATTAAAACTCCAAATCACTTATTTAAATAACAAAAAACTCACCACTCACGCATAGCTCTTTTTTCTTAATAAAACACACCCAACTTCAAGTGGTAACAAAAATAGAGTTATAGGACCTGTTTGACAACCCACTCTAAAAATAGTTTTTTGTTCTTCAGAGTAAAAGAACAAAAAAATTTATTTGGTAATGTATTTTTTAAAATTGTTTTAAAGAGCAAAAAAAATGAAATATTGCTCTTGAGAGCAGAAAAATGTAAACAACTTTTAAGTGTTCTAGGATTATTGTTTTGGAGAATAAAAAAATAAAAAAATTCTTATTTTTATTATTTTTTGTTCTTAAAATATGTTTTACAAAACACCAATTCTTAAAATAATAAAATAAAAATAGTTTCAAACAGCCCCATGAATGCAACAATTGTGAGGCTTCAATTTGTTTCCT